ATAGCATCATTTTTGCAACTTTTTCTGCATATTGTCTTGCAGCCTAGGTTTGCAGATGTTGGGATCCAAACACAACGTGCTTGATTTCGACCATGGTATCCTCCTGGATAGGCTGGCGGGATTACATTACATAAATGTAATGTAATGTAGCTTATTATTACATTACCTTACATTTCCAGAGGAAACCAAAAGTAACTTGGAAATATGTAGGAATAGTAGAGGATTGGGTTAGAAATGGATTTCTTATCTCCCTTGATCATGTTTTACAACAGCAATTAAAATTGAAGATAACATTGTATCATTAATTTATTGACGTGTTTTAGTATGTTGTATCAACTGCAACTAAAAGGAAGAGTTTCTGTGTATAAAGATAAAAGCTAATCTTATTTATGGCTTTTTATTTTTTAGCCTACTAGAAATGTGCTCCAGATTTGTCAGAACCTGTTAGATTTTTTAAAAAATTGAGAATCTGTTTGCTGTAAGTCATTGATTTTCATACTAGCATTGAGGTTTTGATACATTAAACTAGAAAGATTGTCTTGACAGTAATTTGATTTGGGATAGAATTGTGTCCAAAATTATATAATCGTTTTTCAGTTATTGTGGATATAGCTGAAAAACTATTGTTTAAGTAGTTCTAGATGTAATAAAACCAATAATGAGTCATTCATATGGCAGACTCTGTTGCTTTCCCACCACTCTGGTTTAGCGTGATTGCTAGCCAAACAGAGCAGCACCTGCCCCAACAGTGAGTTGTCACGGGACTGCAAAGCTGAAGGGCAGCATAACTGTCCTCTGTAATCATTGGTGAGCAAGAGCCACAGGAAGAACGTCACAAGTCTGGTCTCATCCATCAGTCAGAGAAGAAACAGCTGCAAAGCATTTGTTTTGCCCATCCCTGCCAGAAAGAACACTTGCAAAATCTTTGTAATTAAGTACGTGTTCCTGAGCTTGCTTGTTACTTCCTGCTTCTTATACAGAATGTTTAGGGTTTTCAAGGGAGAAGGAGTGGCTGTTATGTCTGCACTGTAGCTATACTTTTGAGAATTGGAGACTGGGTGGGAGGAGACACATGTTTATTAAAAATGGGTACCTTGCTGCTCATTTGAGTTAAAAATGGACTGAAGGCTTAGCAGATTTGAAGACTGTAGGTGCAATAGAGAGCATCCTGGACAAAGTACCAGAATCCTGGTTTGTTTGCTTTCATACCCTAATTCCTGGGCACGAACATGCCTTCACTTCCCCCAAAGGTAGGAGGCTTTGGGTAAAGTTGCTGCTTCTTAACTTAAAATCCTCATTTGTAAATTTGAAATTTCAAGTAGTATCCAAATGGCAGGTGCTACTTTCTTTGGCTGGCAATCATGCTAAACCAGAGCATTGGGAAAACAACAAAGCAGATTCCTTCAAAATCAGATGTCTTTCCACATTGTTGTAGCACTGCTGTGGCTATATGTGGATCACATTCTTGTTCTGGCCTGCAATTTGAATGAGTTGTGCTTGACAGGGCTGATTCAAAAACTGACAGAGAACAGATGCGTTAATCAGTTTAGTTTCTATTTTATTCCCACTGTATGTTCACTTTCTGCACAATGCTTTGTTTTTTAATTTGGTCTTACTGTTTTTACTTTCTAGATACTTTTTTAAATACATGTATCAACAGGTTGATTACATTGCTATTAAAATATTTCTTTGGTAGAAAAATAAAAAATTAAAAGATAACCTGCAAAACCTGCTGAATATTTATAGCCCTCCATAAATGGTGCTGGTTATTGTAATCTAGATGTTTGGAAAAAGGCTTTGTGATTAGAACATTAAACTATTTAAAATTGTGCCGTGCCAGCCTAATACATTTGCTCTATATAAAGCCAAGATTTGAAAATTCCCCATTCCAACAGCAGAGGTGTCCAGTGCACCATCTGGTCTTATTTTGTTGGATGAGCTTCAGTTCTTGTGGCCTGAGGATGTGGATAAGGTGATTGGTCAATATTGACCTACAACCTGTTTGCTTAACCCTTGCCTTTCTTGGTGGTGCTGGGGGATTGCTGCTCTGCACCATGCACAGCTCCCCCATGCTTTTTAACATCTATAGGCGGAGAGAGGTCATCTGGAGGTTTGGGCTGAAGTGTTAACAATATGCAGAGGACACTCAGCTCTACCTCTTCTTTTCCTCTAGTCCAGGTGAAGCAAAGTGCCTGGGCTTGGTAGTACCTGGGCTGAGCTTCAGCTTACTGGCCCTCATGCAGTTCAGGATGGACATACTGTTGGGCAGACGTATGTCCAACTGGGAAATTTTCTGCTCCTCTTAAAGGACAAGGTTCATAGCCTGGAGGTGCTCCTGGACCCTAAGTTATCGTTTGTGTCTTATAGGGTGCATCTGGCCACCAAATTCACTTATCAGTTAAGGCTGATCTTTCAGTGACATTTGTACTTGAATGAGTGGAGCCTTGCCACAGTTAACTATGCACTGGAAACCTTGCCTGAATTTACTGTAATGTGCTCTACATGGGGCTGCCTTTGAAGACCATCTAGATACACCAAGTAATCCAAAACAGAGTGGCGTGGCTGTTAACAAGTACCAGTCCTTGAGAACACATTTCCCTGGTCCTTCATCAGATGCACTGGCTGCCTGTTGTAGTCTGGGCTCATTCATATTGTTGATATTAACATACAAAGTCCTAAATAGCTTGGGCCCAGGATACCTGAAGGAATTCCTGTCTCCATATATCCCTATCAGGCCATTAAGAAATTGCTTCACTAAGGGCTACCCCCTAATGAAGTGAAGGGGAAAATGGCTAGGAGAAGGGCCTTCTTCATGATTGCACCCCTCTTATGGAATTCTGTGACCTTTTGTTGTGCCTATTAGATTTTATATTTTTAATGGAATTTATTCTTGTAAGGTTGATTTTATTGTTTTAGTTCATTGTTTTTATTGTTGTTTGCTCATGCTTTTATTGTAAGCCACCTTCCTGAAGTTTATTTTCAGTCTACAGCCATATACTTTCCTGCAGTGTACTTCAGCCTCCCGAGACAGCTAGTACCATTATGCTCAATGTTTAGCATAAGCCACATATTGTGAACTGGAGTCAATATGAGGAGAGTGTCCAGAGGAAGAGATGTAGTGTCTCATCTATAGATTTGTCCTTCAAGCAGTCTAGTTACTGATCCCTGATGGTGGTGGAGATGTGGTGGTAACTGAAAGATTGCCTCATGGTATAAATTTATGCTGTGAAATCCTGCCACACTAGAAATAAATACAGTGAAGAAAATGAAATCAGAAGTTTCCTTCAGTAGAGTGGTACCTCGGCTCATGAACTCCTCAGTTCACGACCAAATCGGGTCACGAACAAAAATTTCTTAAAAATTTTGACTCAGGTTGTGAACTCTGCATTGGGTGGCGACCACTCCACCCTGTGAGGAGAGATGGCCATGATCGTGGTCCTGCTTACCCAGGGAAGACAGGTGTGATCACGGTTTATCTCGGGGTGGGGGAGATGGCCAAGATTGTGCCCATCTTTCCTGCAGGATCACACCCATGATTGCGCCAGTCTTTCCTGCATGAGCACAACCGCGATCTCGGCCATCTCCCCCACAGCACGATAATGCCCATATCCCCCCCCGAACACGCCCACGATTGCGCCCGTCTCTCCCTCCCAGCACACCTGTGATTGTGCCTGTCTCCCCGCTCCCCCGAGCATGCCCTTGATCATGCCCATGCAGGGATGACTGGCATGATCGCAATCGTGCTGAGGGAGGACGAGATGGCCACACTCGTGCTGGGGGGAGGGGGGGTGGAGATGGCCACGATCTATGTTGCTCTTTGTCACTTTGCTTCAAATTTTTTTTATTTAAAAAAATAGTTACAGAATGGATTAACCTCATTTAAATTGAACCTTATGGGGAAATTTGACTTGACTCATGACCAATTTGGCTCATGACCAGAGTCCTGGAACAGATTAAGTTTGTGAGCCAAGGTACCACTGTACTTTCTGTTCTGCTTGTCTGAACACACTCAGCGTGTATGTTCCATCTTGTCCCAGGTGAGAGTGAGGGTGCTAGAATGGAGCATAGGATTCAGAACTGTATTTCCACAGCACTGATAACAGCTATATGCTTTTTTAAAGTCTGGGAACACGAAAGAGGAAGTGCAGTTAGCTTGTTTTGCAATACCTGCCCAGGTACATGAACACAGCAGTGTTTTATGGAGTTAAATTTCCTCTGTCCTGCCAAAGAAAGAAGTTCATCCAGGAACTGGGTGTGTGCTTGAGCTGATGGAAGCACATATTCATCTCAGGTGATCCAATCAATGCACATATTTAAACTTGAATGAACAAAGACATGTCATTTCTCTTAGGACTTGATGGGAAATGAATACTTTATTCCTTTTGTCCGCCTTGCTATCAAATATGGGGAAGTGAGGGAAGCATATGGAATATGTTGTGCACAGTACTAGTCATTTAGAAACCCATATGCTGTTGGGATGAAAATGGCAGTTCATGCACTATTGATATTTTTGGAGGGCTTAGGCTTAATGTAAGCCTTGGATAGAACACTGAAAGGAGTTGGGTTGTCCTCAGTGCAGTAAAATTTGGCTACATCAGCAGGCAAAATGTTGATGCCCCAAAACATAATTTAAAAAACTGAAATGTAAACATCAGATTCTTTTTCTGACTCCTCCTTGGAAAAAACTAAATCAGTTAACAACACCGAGGAAAAGTGACAATATGAAAAGCTCTCAAAAAGATCTGCCTGATAGTTTGTGTACTGTTGCTGATGTTATGTACCATGATACAAGAATTTGAAATGCTTTTCAGGTGGTAGAATGCTAGAGGCAAGCATTCAGCCATGTACAAGTTCACTGGATTTGTCCCAAAGAGATCTTTTCTACTAATCAACCTGATGAACAGCGTAAAGAATCATTATATTTAGAAGAATAGCAGGTGTTTATATAGACAATTATTTTTAGTAATTGAGCTTAATCATTTTTCATTCTGTTTTCACAGCAGGAACTCATTATACAATGACAAATGGAGGAAGTATTAACAGTACAACGCACTTACTGGACCTCTTGGATGAACCCATTCCAGGGGTTGGAACATACGATGACTTCCACACTATTGATTGGGTGCGAGAGAAGTGCAAAGACAGAGAAAGACACAGAAGGGTACTTACAGCTGCTTTTTTAAATACTTTTAATTATTCTTTTACATATTGTTTGAGGTAGATACAATGCATGCTGATACAAAGGCAAGAAAGATCAGTGCCCAGTAGCATGGAGGTGTCATAATTTAGAGCCAGTAATTATCAGTAGCAAATGCTCATATTGTTCATAGTGGGGTGAAAATACTTTATTATTTCTCACCTGACATGGTGTAATCCAAAACAGTATTGGTGTATTCAGTTGAAGAAATGATTTATTCAGGTTACCCAAATATTTTGCCTGAGAATATATAAGTGGTTCCATTGCAAATCTCACAGGTTGCCACATGTCCACCTTTACATTCTTTTCAGCAAAGGAGGTCTTGCCTTCCTTTGAACTACAACGGTGGTGGTAGGAAGGGCAGGAAAGATGATTTAATCTTGCAGCAGGATGGTGGTGAGAAAGTCCAGTAACAGGAAAAGGATTTTACTTCTCCAGCATCTGACAACATGCATAAGTCACTGAGTAAGAAGACGGCAAGTTTCTGGATCCTACCTCCTGTATGTCAGAGAGGAACTATTGTTGCATAGGAGAAATCAGACCTTGCAAATAGTTGATTCATAGAAAATGATTTGTAATGTTCAGGGTAATACTTTTTTTACAGATCAATAGTAAGAAGAAAGAATCTGCCTGGGAGATGTCAAAGAGTTTGTATGATGCATGGTCAGGATGGCTTGTTGTAACACTAACTGGATTGGCATCAGGTAGGGACCACTCAGAGGAACCCATCCATTTTTCACAGAAGTGCTATGAAATCGATAATAGACTTTTATCATTGTAATTGCATTTTTCCTTATCTCAATTAACTAATTTTAGATTTATTGTATTTTCCTTATTTTAACTAATTGTAATTTTGTGTTTTATTTGTTGGTCAATGGCCAATAGAGAATTGATTAATAATAATTACAATACTATTTACTCACTTTTTCAAAGGTTATTAATGTTTGTTTTGCAGTATGGTCTCGTATATTTTTCTCAAGAATTCTTTGAATTCTGAGGCTTTGGTCACTGTACTGTTGGCAAACCACATTATGTGGGTATGGCAAGTGGAAAAGTGACTGTGAAGCACAGATAAATATGGAGATATCTCTCTGTTCCTTTTGGTGATCGGTCTCATAAGTCATGCAGCACCCATACACATAAAGAAGCATTTTAACAACTGATTTTAATGGTTGTAATAATGTATCATTTTATGTTTGTCCCCCCCATGAAAACATAGAATGATCTATTTATTTATTGTTGTTTTGATGATAGTGTATTTTTTGAAATGATTATTTTTTTTAGTTTTATTGTCTCAATGTGTGCATAATTTTAAGGGTTGTGAACTGCCCAGAGACTCCACTTGGAGTAGGGGCAGCATACAGCTGCCTAAAAAAATAAACACCTTACATTTCTGATCCCTGAATTCCACCCATGTATGTGTTTGCTAATTTTTCCTAGATAGTAATTTTCTCTTGCATAATCTTTCTCTTTATTATTTTTACTACATTTTCATGGATTTCCTGAGTGCAACATCAGTATTGGAATAGCTGAATATGAAACACTTGCATTTTTCTTTATTTATTGCCCAATAAAATATTAATGTACATGCAGTAAAGGAAATAAATGTTTGTCTACCTGCTAAACAAATCTAGTTGGTTGTAAAGGTGCCATTTTATTTTTGAAGCTGCGAAAGAATGAGCAAAAAATGTTGAATGCATTAACTGTTTGATGATTGGATTAGGCTATGTTTTAGCTCAGTTACAACATTCTTAAACCAACAAAACATGGCTTGTTGAAGTGTGAATGAAATGAGGTCAAGTCCTCTTTACTTCACACATCCTCTCATGCACTGGGTTTCAGAGGAGATGCCTTAAGACATCCAAACTGAGAAGCTGTACTTTAAGTCCTCTTTACCAATCAGTCTTTGATCATAGTTTGTAAGTAGGCCTAAGTTGCTGCTGGAATATGTAGGTGATACAGTGTGATGCTTTGCAGGTAGTGTCTGTTGAATAGTCCTTGATATTAGACAGGAACATGCAACTCCTCCTTGTACAGAGCTTGTATTTTCATCAAGTCTCATTTATTCATTGTACTTTTGAGGAAGCATCCTTTAATATTAGGGTTTGTGCAGGAGAGGAGAGGAGATGAGAAAGCCTTGTTTCAGATCTGACACATGGTTTTCCTTCTCAGATTTTGTCCAATTTTTGGTGGCCTTGACTGATATCCCAACCATTGGTTTGATCTCAGTTCTAATTTAAGAAGTATTGTGATTATGGTCTAGCACCCTAGTGTTTACTAAGCTTTTAAATATTCATTTGTGCTTTAATCTATCCCCTAGATAGATATCCTATCCCCTAGTTAGATAAATTTAATTAATCTATCCCTTATCCAATTGATTCATCTATTAATTAATCTAGATAGATAAATTCTATCCCCTAGATAGATAAATTCTATCCCCTAGATAGATAAATATTCATTTGTGCTTTAATCTATCCCCTATTTGCTATTTTTGTAGATATTTTCCAATTTCTTTGAGCTTAATTAACATTTATTAAAATGCTACATAGTGTGATATTAGAAGTAATACAGGTGGATCAGCCCTTGCCTTCTTCCACACATAGATACCCCAACATCCTGTGTAAAGTCATGGATTAAATCACCTGATAATGGGGAGGGAAGACCTCCCTTCCCTCTCCCACTCTGCCTCCTGCACCAGTGATTAGTGTTCTCAAAACTGTTGGTGCTAAACATCTATTTGGTGGCCAGATGTGTGGCTCCTAATCCTGGGTTGGGTATTGCATATGTAGCCCTGATTACAGGAGGCAGTGATCCAGCACCAGAAACCATTTAGTATTGTTTTCCATTTGAAAGTTCTGATCCATATCTTCATTTCAGAGTGAAGTTGTTTGCTCAGTAATACTGACTTAATCATGGCAAGTACAAGTAAGCATGTCTGCTAAGTCACAATTACTGTGCTTTCTTTACTCACAGGACCTCTGTACTGTTTGTGTTGCAACTCCATGATTCTTGACAACAGCAATGTTAAGCAATCTATCATGTCAAAATAGTAACATATGAACTAGTACTTAAAGATCACAGAGTGCAATAGAGAAAAGGTCAATCTTTTTGCTACATAAGATCCAAGCATATGTTTATGAATACAAATACTTGAGGTTAAAGATTTCGTGGTTGCATACAGCAGAATTTTTCCCTCGAAGATGTATAGTAGTAACTTAGTACTGAAGTTACTGTTTAAAACAAACCCATGTACTAGTGCAGAAATAATAACATGAAAAATATGATTATATTACTTTATGCAATTTATTTACAATCAGTTAGTGTTTCAAAAGTGTGTTTTATTCCTACTGTTAAAACAAGGTATTCTCTATTCGTAACTTAAATAAATATTTCAGGTTTTGTTTTATTCTTTAATATGAGGAGTGCCAAGTCAGTAATGTAAAGCAGTGCTGTGGAAAAAAAATTCTAAATGAAACCATAATCCACATTTGGGCAGTGCCAACCAAATTAGATTAAATTAATGGACTGTTTATGTCACTTAAAGAGATGCAATGTCAACCATGCCTATGTTCTTAATGCATTACGTTTTTATTATATTATGTGTGAATTAATGCTAATTTTTGTATATACATTGTCTCTGAAATAAATCCCATCTGTGTATACAACAGGTGCACTGGCTGGGTTGATAGATATTGCTGCTGACTGGATGACTGATTTAAAGGAAGGCATTTGTCTCAGTGCTCTGTGGTTCAACCATGAACAGTGCTGCTGGGCATCAAATGAGACAACATTTGAAGAGCGAGACAAATGTCCATTATGGAAAACTTGGGCGGAACTAATAATTGGTCAAGCAGAGGTAAGCATGCATTTTAAACTGAAGTCTCTGCTTAGCTGCCTTAATGCCATCAGTCTGTTTGGAAGTTTTAGTGGTTTAACTGCATTGTTATACAGTGATGACTTAAAGATCATTCAGTGTAAAATCAAGATTTGGAGTATTGTACCCTGGCATTTTGTTGAAATTTTGCAGTTAATGTACATGTTGCAATGTGGCTACCACCTTTTCATTTTTTGTCACTGGAAACAGGACCTCATGCTTCAAAAGATTGATCCAGAGTTTTATTTCCCATGAATGTTTTCTGTTACTTGTAAACTACCCAGAGAGCTTTTTTTATTTTGTAATACATTAATTTTGAAATGATTATTCTTTTTACAGTACAGTGCTACACAGTCTACCTATAATTGTCAGCATGGGCTCATTTTGAAGATCAAAACCTTTTTCAAAAAAGGGCACATAGAAAGTTTTTGATCCAGCAGAAGTTTCCTGCTGGTGGAGCTTCTACCTCTACCTCCCACAGTATTCCAGAGGACCCCCCCCCCCAATACATTGGAACATGGCTGCAGGGGAATAGGAAAGTTACTGCAAAAAGTAACTTTCAGCTCCCTCGAAGCATCTCTCTGTGCTGCAATGTGACTGGGATCCAAAGATGCTCTTCTGTACATGCAAGGCTGTTCAGTGAATGCACTGCAGCTTGTGTGTGTGTTCTTTCCACTCTGGCTGCAAGGGGATGGGTCAAGGTCAGAGAACCCTGGTGCTTAGACTGTGAAAAATCCTATGGTCACCCAGATGATGTTGCACAATCATAGGATTGTGCCCTTAGTGGCTTACGAAGTAGGACTCTGCAATCCAGTTCTGCTGTCTCTGTTAGAGACAACCTAGAGTTCCACTTGCTTTCCATTACAACGAAGTCTCCCTTTTGCAGTTTTCAGCTAGCAGTTGCCCTACTGGTTGTTCAGGGATTTGTAGCCAGCACAATGCAAGTCATGTTTTTGTAACCTGTGTACATTTGTTGGCATTCTGGGAACAGACTACTGGTCCTTAGGATTTCTTGATAGTGGCAACAGTGCAGCGGCAATCATAATGATGATGTGTTACAGTCACCTCACTTTGACCTATTTTGTTGTAATAGCTTCACTTAAAAGAGAAGCCCCTGTTTGTCAAAATGTTAATCTTATTTCCATTGAAGTAGCTTGGTGCTAGCTAATCAGAATTTGTTAACAGTGCTGTTTGTTTTCCTTTAGGGCCCAGGATCCTACATCATGAACTACATAATGTATATTTTCTGGGCCTTAAGCTTTGCTTTCTTAGCAGTTTCTCTGGTGAAGGTGTTTGCACCTTATGCTTGTGGCTCTGGGATTCCAGAGGTAAGGTTTGCTTTATGATTTTCCTTAAAAATGGCTAAGAAAATTTAGTAAAGAACTGTTATAGCATGTAACTTACTGTATGCCAGTAAACTATAAACAATAACATACATAATAAAGGTATAGAACTTGATTGTGTTTAGGATGATTTCAGTTCAGACTATAATTTTGTATGTTCATAGTACAGTCCTTTGGGCTTGCAGCCTGTAACAAGGATTACTTTGAACTATTATCCACCAGAAGAAAGGAAGATGAAGGTGATTTTGCCCTCCTTTTCTTCAAAAATCTAAAAACTGTATCTCCTTAGCTATTCTGGCTTTACTTACTGGTAGTGGTCAAAGACACACAACAGAAAGACCATAAGTCTTCAGGTAGCTTCATGGTAGGCCTTTCCTTTCTTGGCCCATTGTCCTGCCCTCATGTTTGCCCACCCTAAAACTGTCAGAGCTTGCTTTTTGTGCCCTCAAAAGCAACTACCTCAATTCTGTCTGTAGTGAGGGAGTTGAGGAAAGGATCATAGAATCCTGCTGCTGAGATCATATGCATGTCTGGCCTCTGATGGGGAACTCTGAACTTTAATGGTTCCTGGGAAGTTCTCACAAGAACCATACAATTGCTTTCTAAATGAAGCAATTTTAATATAATTGTATTAAAGAAATAATCTTGTAGCTATTTAAAAAGTAGATGAGATTTGTTGACCAAATAAAGCCCACATTTCTAATTTGAGAGAAAATCACTACAGATTTATTTTTAATTGGTATATTCCTAATAGAATTGAATAGATTAATGCAAGAATATGATCTATGTTTTGGTGTTATGGTAGTGAAAGCAGAAGATCAGAGTATGTAGTGAGTGTGTCATATGATCCAGAACCTGGATCTAGAAGTGGCAGAATTTATGACAACTCATCTTTTGCCTTTGTCAGCCATAAGAGTTATTTTAGATTATGTGGCAGGTATAGTACTCAGATGGCACCAGGAGATTAGTAATATCTTACTCATCATCACAGAGCTTGCAATAAAAAAAGCCAGAATAATCTTGGACTACACTTAGAGAGCACTCTTAGGGCAGCATCCAGCTGTGTCACTCTGCTAGCATGAATGACGTTTTGCTAGTGTAAGTTATGGACTATAATGCAAGTTGAAATTGGTCTGTAGAATAACAATTGTAATTAAAGTATTGATCTGGAAACCTTAACAGAATATTAGCATTCTGAATGTGTATTTCATATCTGTTGATCTGTAATTCTGTGTGATCTTTTAGACTACTCAAACATGATTAAGAAGTATTTTTGTTCTATCAGCTTAATTTAAATGTAGAAAAATATTGAGGCATTTCATTTTTTAACATATAAATTTCATTTCTGTCCTAGATCAAAACTATATTGAGTGGTTTCATCATTAGAGGATACTTGGGCAAATGGACCTTGATGATAAAAACAATCACATTAGTCTTGGCTGTAGCCTCAGGTCTGAGTTTAGGAAAAGAGGGTCCCCTTGTGCATGTTGCCTGCTGCTGTGGAAATATTTTTTCCTACCTCTTTCCGAAGTATAGCACAAATGAAGCCAAAAAAAGGGAGGTATGTCCTTAAAATCATAAATGATACACATTTATAATAATTTACTGTGATGAAATGTAGTACATTTTAATTTGAAAACATGTTTGTATTGCTCCAGTTGAAGTCATATTTAAAGTGGTTTAGAAATGAACAGCTGATAACTGAACAGAATAAGATTCTAAGCCTTATTTCATTTTAAAATACTTCAAGGACTTATCTAGAATTCTCTTTCTCTCTCTAAGAAAATTTCATTTAAGCCTAGTAGCCCGTGGAAGTAGAATTGTGCTGGTTACTGACAGATTACTGTTTTGCTGCTGCAGTGTCTATATACACCAGTCCTGGGTGATAAATCCTGTCAATGAGCCACTTGCATACCCCATTTCAAATAATCTAAAGACATGTAATGTTTTTGCAGGTATTATCAGCTGCTTCAGCAGCTGGAGTATCAGTAGCCTTTGGTGCCCCAATTGGTGGAGTCCTTTTCAGCCTAGAAGAAGTATGTATAAGCGGTACTGAATCTATCCATATTTTATTTTTACTGAGCTCTCACATGTCTGCTTGAATTCTTTCTCATATAAAGTGTTGGTCTAAGTTTAGCACAGTTTAAATGTGTATCCACTTACCACTCATATTTGGTACTAAATCTTATATTATGAACTCTTGCAAGTAACTTGACAATACATTGTTAGCCAACAAAGAATAATACAAACTTGCCTTCTGTAACATAGTATTATTAATTGCTTGAAACACATTGAGAGAATGTGGAGGGTTCTCCCTCTTCCCAAGACAGCTGCCTGACATGGTTTGGGCAAATCAAGTTGTACCTGGTCAGCGATTATGGAACTTATGTCCATACTTGCTGCAATTTAAGTAAGCCACATTGGAGCTTTCACTTATCTTTCCATATAGTTTTGACTCCTGGTTTTAAAAAACTTGTGTTTGTATTTTTATATCAGTAACACTTGTTCTTGAACTTTTAATGACTCTGTAGTTGTAACTGTTTTGCATGTTTTTTAATATTGTACACCATCTGGATACAGTTTTATTCTTTAACCTACCTAAAACTATTAGAAATATATTAATTTGTAAATGCTTCAGGCTAAGCCCCTTGTGTGTCTGCCATATTTCATTGCAAACATTAGTGCAGAATATGTTGAAATGTTGCTGTACTTTAAAATGTTTAAATGGAAATCATTTTCTTATTCATACTTAGAGCAACGTTTAAGACATTTCAGCTTAGCACTTTGTAAATGTCTACTAACATTCAGTTATAGCTACTGATAATGACAGTATATTTATTTATCTATTTTAAGCTTGGTGTAAAATGCGAGCAAATATGCATAGTTAGACCATTTCTATTATTCTCTTTTTGTCTTTTGTAGGTCAGTTATTATTTTCCACTGAAAACTTTGTGGAGATCATTTTTCGCTGCTTTGGTGGCTGCATTTGTTTTGAGATCAATCAATCCTTTTGGTAACAGTCGCCTAGTTCTTTTCTATGTAGAATACCATACTCCATGGTACCTCTTTGAACTGTTGCCATTCATTCTTCTGGGGGTGTTCGGTGGGCTGTGGGGAGCATTTTTTATTCGTGCAAACATTGCTTGGTGCCGCCGACGCAAATCAACAAAATTTGGAAAGTATCCCGTTCTGGAGGTCATTATTGTAGCAGCAATAACCGCTGTCATTGCTTTTCCAAATCCATACACAAGAGTCAACACCAGTGAGCTTATTAAAGAACTCTTCACGGACTGTGGCCCCTTGGAATCTTCCTCCCTTTGTGATTACAGGAATGACATGAATGTCAGTAAAATAGTAGATGATATTCCTGACCGTCCAGCAGGCACTGGAGTGTATTCAGCTATATGGCAGCTGTGTTTAGCTCTTATATTTAAGATTATAATGACAGTCTTCACCTTTGGTATCAAGGTAAGTTGCAACAAACAGTCCTTCTTTAGTCTTTGCTCTTCTCCACTTCTGTTTACATGTTCATATTTCTTTCCTTCTTCACAATCCTGTACGCAGTACAACACACTTACATTAGCACAACTCCCATCAAACTCAAGGGAATTTACTTCTTTGTAGTTCATTGGATTACCCTCTCGATTTATTCAGATAGATTAGATTAGATTTTAGAAGAAGAAAGAATATAATACAAATAAAGTTTCTGTGAAACTTGGACTTTATTTCTCTTTAGGGCTGAAGAATAAATTGCCTTAAGTTCTCATATTGACACTACTAGTTAATCAGCTGTTTATAGTGCATTACATATGGCTGATGATAAAATAAGTTTCATTTAATAGTATTCTGTTAGGAGCACAAATGCTGTGAGTTCTCAGAGTTTTAGAAGTAGAAGCTCCAAGCAAAGAGAACAAATATTGCTATGTAAATCATGTACAGTGTGAAGATCTATTTTCGGAAGATTAGATCTTTATTGTTTCACATTGTTGAAATTTAGCAAGGATTGATGTGGGAGGTCAGATTAAGCTGCATGCTTCTGTTAGTAAAATGGGTAGTAATTTATTATTTAAATAAATAAAGTCCAGGTACGCTCTTGTTGGGAGAGGCGGTCTGTCAGCAATTGTGGTCCTAAGTTGTATAGGGCATTATAGGTTAAAATCAGGAAATCAATCTCAGAAGCATATAGGCAGCCCATGCAAGCAGGCCAAATGTTATGGAGGTATCAGTGAACACACAGGAAAACTAAATCCCACTTTTCTAGTACTTACAAGTTGATACATAATGGTTCTTGGAATGTTCTGAATTTGAAATGGTAATTTGAATGGTAATCCAGGGGATGTCAAATTTACAAACTACTTTCTAAACAAGATATATGGAAGAATTTATATTAGGTCAAATGTGTAAAGGGCTTTGGAAGAAATATTGACCAGCATGTATGGGATTAGAAGGACTAAATGAAAAAACACATTGTGTGTGAACATTAAGCAAAGATGTTACAAACTTAAGTTTAGATGTTACAAACTTATGTTTCACTTCCAAAATGTTGGAAGTGAAAATTTCAGAGAGAACAAACATTCTGAATGCCTTTTGGACTTGCCCAGTAATTATAAGTTGTTGGTTCTCATGGTTGATTGAGATAACTTTAATTAGATGATATGCATTCACTAAGGACCCATTAATAGTTATTTTTGTATATCTTGAAAGTCTAGTTGCTGGTTGAAGATATTGAAATTGTGATCTACTTCTTAGGAGTAGGCTGTATGGCAATCAGTTTAAGTTGGAAGAAGGTTACCTCACCTTTAGTTTTCTTAGGGAGTAAGAGTTAGGGAAGGGAAGGGAAGGGAAGGGAAGGGAAGGGAAGGGAGGGATCTTTTTGTCATTAATTGTAAAGAAAAAGCTGAAGAATCATTGATGCCATTTACTTTTTTTGACATGATTTCATGTGAGTGTTGATACAAAAATATATGGTGTTAAAATTCATAAGGCTTTTTTTACTTTGTGGTCATCCTTGAAGTTTAAATTTGACCTATATTAGAGAATGTGGTGGTAGTATAAATTGGGTATCATGATACCACAATGTATTATATGAGTAACAATAAAATAAATTATTTTAAAATTCACTTAAATAAACAATTGATAGTTTAAAAAAAAACTAGAACACAATGTTTGTGAGGGCTTCTGGCTCTATAGTTGTTCATACAGCCATATGAACAAGAATGCTTACTCTGCAAGGTCACAAACATCTTTGTTTTGCCTCTTAGGTTCCCTCAGGCTTGTTCATACCTAGTATGGCCATTGGAGCAATAGCTGGGAGAATTGTGGGAATTGCTGTGGAGCAGCTTGCTTATTATCATCATGACTGGTTTATCTTCAAGGAATGGTGTGAAGTTGGAGCAGACTGTATAACACCAGGCCTCTATGCTATGGTTGGTGCTGCTGCATGCTTAGGTAACTACATCCTAACAGAGCAAATAAAAGGAGTTAGTCCTTCTTTAGGTTGCTTAAATAGGTAAGTTTATGAAGGAAGAAAATGGAAGAAATGAATATGCCCAATTTTTAAACATCTTGTTCTTTGAACTGTTTGTCCATGGGGAAATGTACAAGATGTCAGAGGAAAACATTCTAATTACAGCATTAAAAAGGTGTAATAATTAGAATCACAGTGCCTATAATTCCATAAGCCTATCTGGTACATATACATTGGTGCTTCTTCTTGCTTTTTAGAGTAATCCCCAACCCAAGATTCACAATCTGTTTTACATTGAGACACAGTAGAGTTTTAGGTGTTTAAAAGTGAATCAGAAATATTAATACTCTTTACTCCATTTTCCACCTCTACCTTTGGCATGTTATGGAAACCTAAATCTAATCAGCACTTGTGTTGGGATTTTAAATGCAATTATAAACATATCTGCTCAGAAGTAAATGCTTTGAGCTCAGTTCGACTTACTTCCTAGTAAGTGCGTATAGGATTGCATCCTACAAGGTCTATTTTATTGTCTTGGAGTTAAATTATTACATTTCAGTCAACCATCCTTTTTCCAATAAGATAACTAAACATTCTGTTTTTCATTGGTTATTCTGGTGCCTTTCATTATTAATTTTGTTTTTAAAGTTAACCTTTTATCTACTCTTGTTGCTGCTATTATGATGCAGAGAGCCTTTGGCTGTGGGGCAGCATACAAATGCAATGAATAAATAAATGCTGAAACTTTGTGACATTCAATTTGTTTACTAATATGTGCTTGGAAGTACAGGGGCTCACGAACTTAATCCATTCCAGGACTCTGGTCATGACCCAAATTGGTCGTGAGCCAAGTTAAATTTCCCCATGAGGTTCAATGTAAATCAGGTTAATCCATTCTGTAACTATTTTTTTTAATCAGAAAAATGAAGAAGCAAAGTGACAACAAAGATCACAGCCATCTTCCCCCCACCCCACCCCAAGCACGACCCTGGCCATCTCCCCACTCCCCCAGCATGACCGCGATTGTGCCCGTCATCCCGGTGTGTTGCGGGGGGAGAGAGACAGGTGCGAACACAGGTGTACTGGGGTGGAGATGGCTGAGATCGTGATTGCGCTTATGCAGGAAAGACAGGCGCGATCTCAGCCATCACCCCCCCACCCCCAGCATGATCATGGCCATCTCCCCACTCGGGGGTTTGGGGAGATGGCCGCGTTCGTGGTCGCCACCCAATGCGGAGTTCGCGACCTGATTCAAAATTTTTGTTCGCGACCTGATTTTGTCGTGAACTGAGGTGTTCGTGAGCCGAAATACCACTGTATCTAAATAGTCAGAAAGCACCACTTCTAACCACAATTTGATAAGAATATACTGATAAGCATCCCTTTTTTTCCTTTGTAGGTGGTGTAACAAGGATGACTGTATCTCTAGTCGTTATTGTATTTGAGTTAACAGGTGGGCTAGAATACATTGTGCCCCTCATGGCTGCAGTGATGACAAGCAAGTGGGTAGGAGATGCTTTTGGCAGAGAAGGCATCTATGAAGCCCACATTCGTCTGAATGGATATCCTTTCTTGGATGCCAAGGAAGAATTTACCCACACAACACTGGCTGCTGATGTCATGAGACCTCGAAGAAATGATGCACCCCTGGCAGTGCTAACACAAGACAACATGACCGTTGATGATATAGAAAATTTGATCAATGAAACCAGCTATAATGGTTTCCCTGTTATAATGTCAAAAGAGTCCCAAAGATTAGTGGGATTTGCCCTAAGAAGAGATTTGACTATTGCAATAGGTAATTGTTCTGAGTGTTTACATTTTTTTCAATGCATTAACATTGAAAGGGAAAACTACTATGAGGGAAAACATAGTAGAAAAATGTGCATGAATTTCTGGGCAGATGTGAGGGCAACATATACGAAGAGCATAAATGGCTCTTTTCTACCATTCGGAATGTGGATCCTTCATTTGTGCTCATTTTATTACTGGATTAGAAATAGCTGATGTTAAAGTGCTATGACCAAGCCAGACATTCCAAAACCAAGTGTGTTGGTTTTAAGGGCAGCAGAGCTGGGCTCAGACCAAGTGTAATGCCTGGAGGTGCTATTGCTGTACAAAAGTTGTAAAGGCAAATGGACTTCAGAACTGACTTGAAATAATATTTTGAACTCACATAAATTCTATTGGGTACACAGCTAATACTTTTGCTTGCCACATTTTAAAGTCCAGGTATCTGAATACTCAATGACTTGCCAACTTAATTATCACAAGAGTTTGCTATGTTTCTTTTTGAAGCAGAGAGATCCTCTGGGATTTTCCTCTCTGGAAAGATCATAACAATTGTCGTATGAAGCTGGTGTCTTGACATAGCAATGGCACCTTCACGAATATTATGAAGTTCTTGAAATTAATACAATTTGTTTTTAATTTAAATTTGAACAACAAGGCTTTAGTACAATTTAAGCTGAAATACAATCTGGACAAATTGAAAGTATAAATGGGAAGGGAATATGGGGATTGGAGCCTCTGTAGTCTTAGGCTTGCAGCTTGAATATGATTCTGGATCTCAGTGCAACAACTTCTTTGGCTCCTTGACACACATTTGTGCAAAGGGTTTGCATTTACAAAATGATTTCAAAAGATGTGTGGTGAGCCAGTGACATACCCCTCAAATGTGCCAGCTGGACACATTGGAGGAGCTGTCACTGTCTCTCACTTGCAGAAATGAAAAATATAGGAAAGCTACACTGAGCAAACAACAGCTCATAATTGCAGCAGGGAACACAGAACCAGTGATGGTTATTCCCCTGTGCTACTTGGATGTTAGGGTGGCTATTAACTGAGTTTGACCTAGGCAAGAGGGGCAAAGTTTTTTCTTTCTTTTGGCTGCTTTTTCTCTGTGCTCGTGATGGGATAAATTGCCTGGGTTCAGATGATACAATAACCCATTGTGGGTACAGCAATTCCAAGTGCAAACGATTAGGTTGTGCAGGTGAGTTTTTACCTTTAAACAAGGGTATAGTTTTTACCCTGCTGGAAGTATCCCAGGTTCTCATGACACAACAAACCAACATAGCTAGATACAATGGGTTATTATGTCATGCAAACCCAGTCTTTTAATTGAAAAGTAGCTTAGAATATTTTAATAATTTGTTTTTTAAAATCAGCACTTCTACCATTTTTCAATATTTTGAAATTCAATGACATGCTTCCTGAATTGAATGATCTGTAGGGTTGAATTCCTTTATTCATAATAGAAACCTAGGATTATTTCTTTTCAACAACATGACATAGATATGTAGAAGAGAACATTTTGAAGGGGAACAAACATGCATCAACTAATATCAAGTCATATCTAGCATCTTTTAAAAATATGCAATATGTTATTTTAAATCTGAAATAAATAAATTTACTTGTTTTTGTTTTGATTAAAGAAAGTGCTAGGAAAAAGCAAGAAGGCATTGTTGGCAGTTCAAGAGTGTGCTTTGCCCAGCATACCCCATCACTTCCTGCTGAAAGCCCTCGACCTTTGAAGCTTAGAAGCATTCTTGATATGAGCCCATTTACAGTAACGGATCACACACCAATGGAGATAGTGGTGGATATTTTCCGCAAACTGGGTCTAAGGCAGTGCCTTGTAACACACAATGGGTGAGTCCTATGATGCAAATACTGTTTGTAACAGAAAGGTTTGAGTTTGCTTATTTTCCCACTGATTTCATCAGATGCCTAGCACTCTTAACATTTGTTAAAAGTATTATACACGAGTGCTTAATGATGAAATGAGGTAACAGTATAGTTTGGTGTTGACTAAAGACTGTATTGTCTTCCAATTCTATTTTCTAAAGTCAGCCAAGCCCATTGTAAACATCTTAACAATCACAGTTTTTCCTAGCTTGTCAACCTTAGCTTGTCACATGAGAAAATTATTTTGTTCTGGCTGGTATTTCTCATGATAAGGAGCAAATGCTGGACTGCTTTAAGAGTTGCTGCGTTATGTTCCTAAAACATGGGAACACTCTACCCTGTTTCTCCAGTGTCTGAAATTGTCATAGAATGTGGTTAATATGCACACTACCTTCAGTTAAAATACCAGTACCACTTAACTAATCCCAGTTGCTCCACATATCTGTATTTTTTCTGGAGGTAGTGACTCATATTACTTGCTCCCTGTGACTTGATTGAAGTAAGAATGAAAAACAGCTGAAAAAGGCTCTATCATAGTTTCTATGTTTCTATGTATTTAAGCATGAAAACTGGTATGAAAAGAGTGTCACTGGTTTTACGGCTATTTTTATTGTGTGTCTTTTCTTGGTTGGAAGAGTTCTGTGCTCTAGTTACCATGTAGGTTCTTCAGTGGATTACATAAAGCTAGGGAAAGAGCAAGAAATTACATGGTTTGCCCCTGAGTGTGGAAGCCTCCTGTTGAGTTTCACATCACTGTCTGTAACATCTAGTACATCTTATTTCTGATATCTTTAGAATGTGTATTTCCCTATCTCTAAATTTTAAGATAGGAACTCATTTGCTAAACATATGGCCATTCTAAATGTGATCAGTGAAGCCACTAGCTGAGTTTACATGTCACGACAACTGGTTATGGGGAAATCAATCTGCATTTACATAACATAACGCCTCATCATGGACTGCTATCCATAGTGGGTTGTTCTGTCATGGGAACCAGTCAGTGTGTTCCAGAGCTAGCTGAGACATTACAGAGGCAGATGTAACTTTCTTGCACCTTGAACTGATGGGAGTGACCTGCTCATATGACGATGGAGGAGAGACCTGTGGAAATTTGCAAATGAGCTTCCATGCATAGTCATGCTGAAAATGAAATCCTTGTTCCTCTCATAGGAGCCAATCTGTTCTCTCCTATGGCATGACACTGTTGTACTAATTAATAGCCAGGAATACTGCTTTGTACTGAGTCAGATCAATGATTAATTTAGCACAGTATTAATCATGCAGACTGACATTGCATCTCCTGGGTTTTAAACAGAATGTTTTCATAGTCCTACCTAGAAATTAATTTGGAATTGAACCTGAGATGTTTTCCATGTCCTCTAATAATCTGGAAACAACAAAGAGAACTATTTTCCCTGTAAAACTATTTCAAGTCCATTTTTATTATTGAGATTGCATATTAGACTTTAGGGACTTGGCATCATCATTTGATCTTGCAATAATTTACTTTGCTCAAAGAAAAATATTCAACTGTTATGTTTGTATGACATTGTTTAAATACTGTTCCTTTATTGCATAGTACAATATTTTAACAGTGCAATCCTGTGGTCCCTTGCACATTATCTGGGGAGCCATAGGATTCCCTGGATACCCAGACCCAGGGTCTCAAACAGAAGTCTGGCCTCAGAGCTGGAAAACCCCCTCTTCCCCCTTGCCATCAGTATGTAAAGAAATACACGTGACTGCTTCTCTGAGTTGTAAGAGTGATTTTGGAGAAGGGGTAAAGGACGTACACTGGGGGGAGTGGAGGAGAACAGGACTGCTGGTTACAGTGTATCCTGATGGGATTCCAGTCTTCTTCCCTCCCTTCTGAAGTGCCTCAACTTGACAGTTGAAATTGGCCATTTAATTGATTTACATAACAGGCAGAGTGAGGAGGTAAAGATAACTTCCAGTGCTTCTTCCACTCTGGAGGGAATGCCCATAAACCTTCAAGTTGGAATTCACCCTAAATTACATTATTTGAATTACTTCTTGTAAAATATTGTTGCTCTGAATATGTAGTGAAATTTGTATAAAATTTCTTAAAATTCTGAATTTGTGACCTGTCACTTAAAACTGTAAGCGATACCATTTGCGTGGAAGTAGATGTTTTGCATAGCAGGATACACAGAAAGAGTTAAGATTTTCCAAAATGGTTATCATATACTCCAATGTTACATTTCCTAATGAGACCTTGTGAACTTCGTAGAAATCGGTTGCTTGCTTTGTTAATTGGCAACTCTTCAGTATGCATGCATGTTTTCTTGCTTTTGTAGATGTTACTTTGCATTTGATAAATATAGCGGTAGCCACTTTTCATTGCATGTATTAATTTTAGGGGCAAAGCTCCAAATAAAGCAAAATGCCAGATAAGCTACATATATTTGTTGTATATGCCTCTACCTGGAAAGTAAACCATTGTGCAGATTTGAATATCATTTCCAGGGTCTCTTGTACAGGAAACATACAGTAGTACAGGGGATAGAAAGCATTGTTTAAAAGGGTGGTCAGCAAAATATTTGTTAATGTCTGTGTACCCCAGAGGTACTTAGACTGCTGGTAGAACTAGGATCCTCTTCAAATGATTTGCCGTTTGGAAAAGGAAGGCTGTTTTTTGGTTCTGCAATTTGATGGTAATGTTATCTTAAACAGAATGAATCAAGAATTTTGCAAACTATTTTGTTGCTTATTAATGGGACTGAATAGTCTTCTGTTCCATGGAATTGTTGTATAGATACAGGATTTAGTATCTGGTTCCACATATGGCTTTTAGTTTGCAGTTCTAACAGCCTGTAAGAAAAGCTTGTAGATGCAGCGTTGCTACTCAGCAAGATTGTCGTGAGTCAAGACAAGGAGTTTTGGCATCCTGCAGAAATCCTACCTAGTCTATCTGCTCCCCTTCCCTGCTCCCTGGGTTTATTCGTATAAGATAGAAGTGGACAATATGTAGCCCTCCAGATGTTTTGGCCATTTCACCATTGGCTGTGGTGTGTAGGCCTGATTGGAGCTGTAGTTGAAAACAGTGTGAGAGTCCTAATTTGCCCACCCTGCTGCATTTATATGCAATCTCCACATTCTTCCCTACTTCCACTTTCCTATCCTTGTTTTAAAGTTAATTAAAAATAAAAAAGTATGTACATATTTTCATCAAGTTTATTCTCGATGCATGATCCAGAATATTCAGAGGAAGTATTGAAATGGGGGAATTGTATAGCCTTGCTTAAGGAATTTCAGTATGAATGGAATCCAAAAAGAGCCAAGCTATAATGACAGCAACTGATGTTTGTAAAAAGTTAGCATTCATGTATGAAGGAATACAAGCTTAAAATTGTTTTTGCATTTCATTTTTATAGCTGTAGAAAGCATGGTCGTTGTGATAACAGGAATCTCTAGATATCTGTGTTTGGCATGTATGTACATTACTCTTAAGATTAATGTGCAGTTTAAGCCCACGAGATACCTCTAAGAGGTGTTAATGTTCAAATTGATTTTCAGTTAACCTTTTCATTATTAGCACTTTTGCAGTCCATGTTTTCATTTTATTTTCCCCCTAAACTTCTCTCATTATGGTTGGAGCTTTTTGTTTGATTTCACACACAGTTATTAGCATAACATGATCTGTTTCAGGATTGTCTTGGGGATCATCACAAAGAAGAACATATTAGAGCATCTCGAGCAACTAAAGCAGCACGTCGAACCCTTGGTGATTAGATATATCAGATCTCCTCATTAGACACTTTAGACACCAGGAAGCATGAAACTTGTGAATTGTTCGGTGTTCTCTTATAACATCCGAACATCCAGTCACTATATATGATGACAGCTTCTTAATTACAGTGTAAATTTGAGAGATGAATAAAAATCCTTTTGTAGAAAATCCATTATGGAAAGTAAATGAAGACATGTGCTGTTAATTAAAAGATAATGTTATGCAAGAAAGTGGATTAGAGGTTTCAAAAATAGAAAGGCTGCTATTCTGACAGGTACCAGGATACACCTGTTTCTTCCTCATTAAGTTTTGTAAAATTGTATAAAATATATGTCAGAACTCGGTGGGTTTGGGATTTTCTACCAGTCAACCTGCATACTTCATTTTAGTCTTCTAAACCTGGATATATAGCAGCATTAAATCTTGTACTTTGGTTTTCCTGGCCAGTTGCACAGTCACTTTTCTGGAGTGACTGCTAGAAGGAATTTATTTCCTGATTAAGATTTATCATTAGTTACACTACTTGCCATTTTCCCCTTTTGCTATATTCTGTTTTTAGATTTAGTTGCTGCCCCACAATAGTTGCTATTAAAACCTGCCTTCCAAGTTTAGCCACTTACATGCTAATTGAACTTGCATATTATTCTAATACTTCACAAGTGTTTCATGCATCCTCTTAAAAAAAGTTACAACAAAAACCACTAACCAGAATAACAAGGTCAGAAGCTCATTCTTTCTGCCTCTCTCTCCTGTGATAATACTTTTTAGGACAGTTTCATTCCTTGGTATAAGATCTCGATCATAAGAGCACTGTTTCTAAATTTGGGGCAAGAGGGAGGGAGAATCTATGGCTTTCTCTTTTTCCTAATCCATAAATGTGAAACAAATTTACCTCAAATATATATGCATGTGCTCTTATGAAGACACCCAAACTAGTAGGTCATGTTGGACAAAGCCTCAAAATTGAACTATCAAACAATTTTGAGTTTAGTCAGATTCAGCCATACTTTACTTTGATAATGGGATCAATATCACTTATTCACACCTTTTTTCTTTGCCCTCACTTTTTTGTTGGCATATAATAACAGCAAAAAATAACTTGTGGGTGTAGGCTTGGCTTTTATTTAGTTGGATTATATGAAAATGGGTAATGGCTTAGTGACCATCTTCTTTAGTATCACAATACTGCTGTCGTTTTTAACAAAATGATGGTTACTGGATGACAAAATGTGTTTCTTGGAATAGGAAAATCAGGCTTTACTCCACTCTGTTCCTGTCAACAAAAAGGATTTGGCTGCAGATTAGTTTGTCTGTTTCCTTTTGTCCTTGTATTTAATTAGCCACCTTCTGTATGTCTCTTTCAGGCGCCTCCTTGGCATCATAACAAAAAAAGATATCCTCCGTCATATGGCCCAGACGGCAAACCAAGACCCCGCATCAATAATGTTCAACTGAACCCAATAACTGAGGAGAGAGAGGAAAGTGAAGAGGAGGTTCATTTGTTGAATAGCACAATACTTTAGCATCAGGCATTGCTTTGCAGTGCAAAAGGGAAGCTGGACTTTTGAAGAAGCATGCTGCTAGAATTCAGGAGTTGATTTAGGAGAAAGCAGAAAGAAATGGAAAATGGTTGTTCCTCAAAGTAGCAAAGAAGGTGTGAACAAAGATCTGCAATCCTGCACTGGATGTGTTCTGCGTTTCTAGATCTGCCATGATAGTGCAGTTGAAAGTTGTGTCCGATGATAGAAGGCTCCAATGTGTACCTTGCTGCTTTAGCATTCAAGAAATTGATGGTAGTCCCTGTTTCTGGAGGGATGATTTTGAATTGAGCCATCTTTTGAAGACTGACAAATTTTGCCCTTTTTACCACAGACAACTGTTGTGTTAACTTGTGAAATGTATAATTATTCCACATCACCTCTTTACATTCCAGAAGAGCTTTTATTTCTCTCTCCTCTCCTGATCAGTAACAGAGCCTCTTAACAATTGGTGTGTCCTTTTGAAATGGTAGTTTCTCATATTGAGATGTACTGTGACTTGCTGAGTATGTTCACAAGAAGAAAGTATTTCTTGTGCCATTTAAACCCAGACTTTGATTATCATGAGAGTCTTGTGACAGTTTAGATCTACTGTAGCAAAAGCAAATTGAGCAGGTATAATAACTTGTGCAAAGCATGATAGAAAACCTGCAGTTCCTGAGCTGCATCTTAAAGAGCCAAAACCTGTCTCAAGAAGAATATTTCTGTTGCAAGATTATAATGTGACCTGGGCTTATGCAATTTTTGTATTATTAAAAACACTAAGGTATATACTAACTTTGTGCAGTGTGAGGAAAATACTGCTATTCTGCTAAGAACAGAAACAGGTCTGTATAAATGTGTATTTGGCAACAACTGCATGCTCAAACACTGGAGATAGCCAGCTAAATCAAGAAACATCACTTTTTCTGTTCCTACAAAAAAGAGAAAAATTGTAATCAATTTGCACTAGCTATCCATATTTTACCATGGTTTTATTTATATTTTTATGGATTAAACTATACTAAATACAAATTAATAGTCACACAGTTAATTTTACCTTTAGAAGATGATTTTTATACAATAATTTAAAATATTCCATAAGCAAAGATGACTTGGGCAAAAACTTACCAATGGGGAAAGGGTTTATTTCTTTGTAATGTAGCCTGACATTTGATTACTGTAACCTTAAAGTTACTTTTTTTAAAAGGAAAGAACTCAAATATTAAGAGACTTGCCATTTGCAAATATTCCAGGATTAAAAAAAATTAATCTTTTAATTATTCACTCATGACCATTCAATTTTTAATTTCAGGAACTTTGAAACATAGCAGCTGAAATGATAATTCAAAACAACTGTTATTTGAAAAGTTTTGTAAAGTTTTAATCCCAGCTCCAATATACACAATTTACTTGACAACTGGAATTTTTTGTTGTTGTCTTCAACATTTCTGTATTTTGAATGCTCATTTAATAGATAGAACACATCTATAAAGTCTTCAGATAATGTTATTTTAAGCTATTGCCCATAATATAACTGAAAAAATAACAGAGAGATATGACAGATGAACATTTCAGGGCATCACATCTTGTAACACTGGAGGCATATTGAGTATTCAGATATTTATTGTGCGCATAAAACTGTGCTATGGTTGAGGGTTGCATTAAAACTCTGTATGCACACTGTAGCTTCTGACTGTGTTCCTGCCCAGTAGACCCCATCAGTAAAACAAAATAGGTCAGCCAATTTTGACACTCTGGGATTTCAAAAATTGTTTGCAAAGCTGCACCAACCCTTGTAACTTTGGCTAATGCATAATGATCAGCCACAATTATTTGCAGCTGCACAGGAGTGAGCACACTGTTTCCTGTTTAGTTGTTGCTTCTGTTTTGCATCAGGTTTTGCAAGTAACTCAGGAATACCCCATTTCTGAGTTCATCAGCATGACGTGTGCATCTGTGATTCCTCATTGTTTCTTTAGCTTATAATATTGGGTCTGATTGTTACACCAAACAAACAAGAAATGTCTACACCACATGCAAAGCAGAAGTGGCAAATAGCCCTGATAGTCCCTAGGTTAAAGAACCCACCAGTTACATGGGAACTAGGGTAGCTCTCAGGCTTGTTGCCAGAGTAATTTAACCTGTTTCTTCCCTCCCTCCTCCTTTTCTATATAACATATGACACCAAGATATTCAGGATCTTGATTTGAGAAAACCTAAAGGAGTATCAGAATCAATCTAGTGAGTCTGTATGACTGCAACCTGCTTTTAAGAACTGGAAAGACGTAAGGAAGTGCTTTGTTAATGTGACCCAAATACTGTTTTTTTCTTTTTTTAAAATCCTGGTTAAATCCTTATAATGGTTCTCTCCAGTTTCTGATAGTTCAATGTGTTGAGACAAATTTTTAGATTTTGCTTTTAACTCAATGATATGAACTTTAGGTAAAAGTACTTTTGAAAAATTGTTCTTTGAATTGGATCTAAAGGCAATGGTCCATTGATAGAAAAAACTTGCCCTGTTGGAAGAAAAAAACCTTTGGAACCAATTCATTCTGTTGGGTCACCTTTTTTTAAGCTAGTTAAAATCAGTAACGTGACTATTCTTTTTGTTGCTTGGGTATAAAATTGGCATACTTTTTCATCTTGAGCCTTTTACTATGTAAATCAGTGTTAAACTAAACATAATTTGCTCTATGTATAAAGACACTTCAGGAGATGCTACCATCCAACATTCTCTTTAAACTAAAAATAATGAAAAAAAAATCCTCTGCCCTTGGCTGTAATCAAGTACATCTAAAATATTTTTTTCTTTAACAAATTCTGATTTTGAAAGCCTGCTACTGAGTTTGAAACTCCACTCCAGCCTCTTGCTCTGGTATAAGGCACTCAAGGTATCTACATTGCATAAATTCAGCACCCTCAGACTACCCTCTGCAGCATGGGGTGAAAATATAGTAATTCATGCTCCTGTGTGTCTTAACTGTTAGATCTTCACATTTGGTACTTCTATATTGTGCTGATCTAATGCACTCTGTTTGCTGTTGTTACCTACTCAGTTTTCCTTACAGGCACATGAGATATCTCTGCTCGTCATGCTGCATTAGAGATTCTGAACTGAAATTCATGTGCCTGTGATGTTCAGCAGAAAGGGTTTACTACTCATAATGTAAAAACTTGCAGCGCCTTATTTTGGTTGGGAGAGGATGTTTGTGTTTTGGGGGTGTCAGCATCTTTTTTGTTTGTTTTTAACAGTTCAGTTGATGGTTCATGAAGATTGCATAGGTTGTTAATCTGTGATATTATCTAGAGTTGTATTGAACATTGATCTTAATGTTTTTATTTATACTAGTGTGGTAGAGTTGCATATCATTGCAGTAAAATAACCTATTACTGTGATGATTTCATTAGAAAACATTAAAAAATTCTGTATTACCATTTTGGTATGACTTACTCATTGCTTTATTCAGCTATTGGCTATATAGAACTCATTTTTCCTTTCTAAAGATACAGGGAACCCTGTAAAGCATGATGTAATTAATTGGAGAATTTTACAATATAACTTGCCACATTCTTGTGTTTGTGTAGTGAATGAACTGAGAGGGGGTGAGTCTCATTTACACAAATGCATTTTCTGAAGGAACCAGTAAAAGTTAACCAAGTACAAAATCCAGCTCTATAACCATTAGAAAATGACAGTAAATACAATAAACACTGGGTTACTTCCAGAGTTGTGCTCAGCAGAATTCTGCTGGCACTGGAGTAATGAGACAGGGTGGCAATCTTGCTGATTTTGCATGTTCCCTGTGGCTGCAGCAAAACTGCCTTGAAGGATCAGCAAATCTAGAATAGCACTGAGGGATCTGCAAGGGGAAAGAGGAATCCGCAAGAACCACCTCTTGCCTCCAGCAACAAATCTAACAACAGTAGTGACATAAAAGCAACAAAAAAATAGCCTAGTATAACAGCATTTTTACATTAAAAACTTAGAGCATCTCTGGTTTTCATCAAGGTTGTAAAATCCACATTGACCAGCATTCACCTTTGTATTGAGGATACATTTTCTTAACCTATTTTGTTAGATAAGGTCAGGAAATAATAGTGCAAGAGTGGTAAGTCTGTAATGAGACTAATAGCCGAGTCAGCTCTGTCTTGCATTTTGACTCTGCTCATCTTGTTGCTGCAAAATTTCACAGTATGGAAGTTTGGGATTCACTGTTAACAAATCCCATATAATTAATTGGAAAGTTACACAAAGCAAATGGTATTGCTAATCTACCAACAGTCTTTCGGGGAATGTCTCCCATCTATGTGCTGAATAGACAAATTCCTAGTTTTCCAGCTCTCTCTTCCCCTCCAGTGATGTTTGAGCATTTTGGGGGAAAAAGCTTCCCATTGCCCCTTCTCTATTTGAATTTACACCTACAGCGGAATATGACCCTAAGCTTGTTTTTCTAGATTTCATTGCAGGTGATATCCAATGAATTGAGTAGAACATAGAAGGTAAATAAGATCAGTTAATACCAAAATCATGAAAAGTACCTGTGCTGGTCCATGAGGAAAAGAACCCAAAGTTCAGACCTGGGTAATACCTGTATAAGGACAATATAAATTGTACATTTTTGTGGGATTTTAGTAGCCCTAATATTAGGCTGTTTCTAGAATATGCCCCCCTCCATACACACGCATCTATTACCTACCATTGGACTGTTTCAGATCAAGGCATTTTTTTATATTCCATATAAGGTCTCTTTCAAAATTAAAGTCTGTATAGGGGTAAGAGAAATGTGCTTGGTCTTTTAATCCAAAAACACGTTCCTGGTCTGTCATATTTTTCTGGATCCAAATATCCAGGTTGGGATATTTTCTAATGGTCAGGAAATGCCCCTGACCCCAAGATTGTGAGCTGCCTTGAATCTGAATCAGAATTGAATGAAGTTAAAAGCATCAGACCTGCTAATCGTTTCAGAATAAGCAATTTGATTACCAGAAACTCAGAAATTTTTAACTTCATACAATCTTTTTCCTAGGAAATCAGGAGAAAGCAGGCTCTGGGTTAGTTTTCTCATTTGTTTGGACTATGTACAAACTAGTCCTCGTGAGGGTAAAGAAAAAGTGAAGTTAAAATGCAAAATTTGGAGATTTTTCAAACCAAACTGAACGTGACTAGTTTTTCCAAGCAGAAGCATCAGTTGAATTCCAAAAGTGAACTATTTCTCAAGAGCGTGCAAGTGTCAAGAAGCAACAAAGAGATTAATGTCTTAAAGTCCCACAATGGCTTTTTAAAAATATGATTAAGATTAGCTGAAGTTGTGGTTCCACTATCAGACAATATAGAAAAAAAAATCTGTTCTTCCAGAGAAGTCTGCTGAGAATTAAACCCCACCCTCGAGAAAAAGGAGACTTAAGTTAAAATAAGCTTGATAAAACCCAATTTTTCATGGTTCACCTCCTTGCAGATAAATATGTGGTACAGAATCTGCAAATCATCTTTTGGATTGGCTTCACTTCTCCAGCTTAGATGGTTATATTCTTATTAGATAAACCTATGCAAAAGGGAAATGTGACCATTGCTTAACTTTTCATAGTAAGATCTGTACTGGATGATGGGAAGCATTAAAATTACCATTTAGTAAGCCCACCCTGCCTCCCCCCCACCCCCCACACTTCATTATATTCAATTTATCACCTTGCTTGTTAACAACCATACAGGTTTCTAATTGATAGTTTGCTCATAAGCTTTTTCTTTTTTCTGAGACAGAACTGATTTATAACATAAGTATCATGGTTGGTACCTTATTTCTAGTTCTGATTTTTCAAACCATTGGCTTCCATGTATTCAAAACACTGAAGCACTTTGAGCTCTACCTTAGATCTAAATATTTTGTGAATCATGTCCAACAGGTAACTGTTCCGTCAGTCTATACTTCTCTTGATGAAGGACATTCAAAGTTTAGTATAGCACATGCTGTCAGAACATTGCATTCATAAGCATCTTGAAGTTGAAGACTAAAAGCTAGTGCATAAAAAACTATCAAAACCTCCTTATAATAGGGGTAACAAAATTGCATTTCCTTTATACTGCATGTTCATTTAAACCTTCATTTTTAGGATTCTAAACATAAAACCTTGCCTTTCTAACACAGATAGACTTGCTAATCATAGTTTTCAACCTTGTTTCTATAATTTAGAAATGCAGAGGCCATATATAATTAGAATGTAGTACGTAAAATAGGTCACAGATTTTACCTACCACCATTATGGTGTATGAACCATTAAATATGGGCATAACAAATGGGAGTTTTATAATTCTGGTTATAAAATGTTTTTAGTTTTGCAGTGCTGTGTTTTGAAACCTGGCAAGCACAAAAGTTCTGGCCAAGTGTGCTGCACTTAATTGTTGCTCTTTAAACTGTCTTATTCCCCTCCCTCCATTCCAGAATGCATATCTCCCCCTTTATATAGCCAAGAAAAATTTGCAATGGCACAAATTCTACCTCTTGCAAACAACATGTCTCCTAGTATAAGACCATCTAACTGAGAAATACCAAGCACCTTTAGAAGACAGTTGAAATGCTACAGCCTTGGAAAGCTGCAGTGGAGGCCAAGGAAGATAAGAAAAATCTTGTCTTTTAGGTTAAAGAATATATTTCTGATCTATTCTGCCCCATCCCAGTAACTCACTCTTGTTTAGAAAAATGTTTATTGCATATTGAAATACCGATTCCACATCAAAAATAAAATTAAAAACACGACAAAAGGCCTTGCTATTTTGATGTAATTGTTTATCATTCTGCAAGTCTGTCTATGTTCTCTTCTTTTCTATTAGCCAAATGATCTTCGATGATCTCTGCAAAGAGATTTCTCTTCAGCAAGTTGTAAGCAAGAGGCAGCAACTGGCCAATAATCTTGTGAAAATACTGCAAAAGATTAAAAGATATTATGGTTTCTTACTGAAATTGCACAATACATTTTTCCCTGGCCCCTTTTTTCATGTGAACGTTTTCTAACTAAAGCAGTATGATACTGAGAGGTGCTGATTCAAGCTACTGTGCAGTTAAGAACTTTTCAAATCTTTAGTTCTTACTATTCCAGAGAATTAGGATTGTGGCCTCAGTCAACCTTTGAGGACGCAATCCTATCATCCTTGCATCAGATGATCAAATTCTTCCTGCAGGGCACTTGCAGCCCCCATACTTCATATGACTTGCATCTGCCTTAGGAGGCAATTTTCAGGCATCCAGATTTAGTGCTGGAGAAGGAAGCTGTGGCATGGACTGGATTCAGCATAACTCCATAATCCCAGATTCCTTCCCTCCCCTTGGCATGCCACTTTGCCCGACTCCAAGACCCAGTTGTGTCCTTCATGGGGACAGCATGTGTGGTTCTTTAGCCACTCACTGTGCAGGAGTGGGATGGGGATTTGGCCTCCGGAGTCCCAGCTCTATGATCTCAGAGCTGGGACTCTGAAGAAGTCTATGGGCCACAGACAATGCCAGGAGATTAGACCACCCATAAGCATTAAATAAATTGGGGTGCAGTTTACATATATCAAATAAAACAGTTCCTGCAAAGAATGTCATTAACTTACATGTGACCCATAGCAGAAGAGGTCTATGCCCAGTTCATATCCCATTCCATAGTCACATTCATCATTGGCAAACTGAACAAAAGTTAGCATTTCCTGAATAGGAGCAAAGGCTTTTAGCCTCTGGTCATCATTCGGAGCATCTACAATGGCTTTACAGATTCTTTTGAGACTAGCTGGAGGGAAACAAATTTACAAGAGAAATAAATCAGACTATATCTCATATATGTAGTAAATATACTGAGAACATACTGTATACAAAATGATTGGGCAATTTTGTCCATGTAATGTCAGGTCCCCAAAGTTTCTGTGGTGCGTAATGGACAAGTGTCTAAAGCAGGGGTCTCAAACTCGCAGCCCAACTGCCGGGACGGGTGGGGCACAGGGGAGGGGCCCTGCGGCCTTCAAAGCACTGGCGGCGCCCGGGCCGGCCTCCGGGAGCAACGCGGGATGAGCGGCCCACCACCACCGCGGTGGTGGAATACTTGATGCGGCCCAGCCTCACCCAGACTCTACTTCCAGCTGCCCCCAGGTAAGTTGAGTTTGAGACCCCTGGTCTAAAGAATGTGGGTCAAAAAATGTTTGGATGATTAAATACTTTTGACCTGTGTTGGCAAGCAGTTCATGAATCTTAAAAGGGGATTACACTACAATGAAGTAATGGTTCCTGGAAACGAGATATTACCAATGTTCCCTGTAAATAAAATGCTAATTACCCTGCTAGTTTGGATATAATTATGCCTGCTTGAAAAAGAATCTGTTAAAGTGGTGGTTTTCCAAATTATAGGAACCCTATAATTCCTTAGAAACTTTATGGTCTCTCAGTGAGATCAGTAAAGGTAGACAGCTTGTCTTTAAATATTTAAGGTGGCACCTTAAATATTTAGGGCCTGAACTTTCATTTTGGCATAAGCTTTTCTTTTATGAACTAATGTCTATTAGAAGTGGTACAAGAATGTTAGAATCCACTCAGTTACAGAGGTTGAGGATAATATTCAGCAGAGTTGTTCAGGGTCCCAAGCAAGTTGTACTTATGATACAGATATCCTGCAATTCTTGACAACATAGAGCAGCTGGTATTTAAGGAGCCGTCCTTCAACAATCACAGAAACATGGCTTCTTATTCTCCAAAATATGTTGGTTGCAGCCTTATTTTTCATCAAAACCAATGGAACTTAAATTATGACTGATTTAAATGGAAATTAAATGCAACTTAGTCTAGATTCAAGTTAATGTATTCTAGAAGGGCAATCTTTTTTCTTTTCTTTTCTACAACTGATTAAGATACCTGTGGCATCTTAAACAATTACGGTATGAAATCATGTCCCAATAAAGTGTTAATTTTTACTTTAGCCCTTTACTTTACACTTCATCATTTTTACAAAGATATAACTGCACAGGTTACCCTGATTTAGAGAACACTTATAATCACTTGCTTACATTAAGCCAACTATATTTTATTTTAGTAGCAAAAACAGTGCTGGGCAACATGCAGCATCCTGTAACTGTACCCCCCCCACCCAATGCTCACTGAATTTGCTGCAGTTGGTGGCAAGAACTGCACCCTTTCTGTAAGTAGACATGGCACTTGGGCAGAGTGTGATGCTGCTTGCAGAAAAGAGCTATGCCATCTGTTTCTTTGCAAAAAAATTTTTGCTGCCAGTGCAGGAAATCCATCAGAAGTAGATGCAAGCCCTGACCTGTGGAAGTTGCTTACCCTGAGCTAGAATGTCATGTTGAGAATTTATCTTTAAAGCTAAGAGTTAGTAGTCAAGCCCCTAAATACAAATAGTAGCAAGAGGAGTGTTTTGCCATGCAACCTTCTTTTTAAGAACAGAAAACCTAAAATTAGTTTACCATTTGATTCAGGGAGTTCTCTGTACCCAACATCATTTTTATCTAGAGGGACAACAAGACCAGCTCCATGAAATGCCTTGGTTACCACCTATGTTGAAGAGAAAAAGACAGATATGAACTAATACTAGATACTAGCCACAGATAAAGGTCATCAGAACCGAAGCTTAATTCAAAATGTTAATTTTCTATCTATTCTTCTGTAAGTATTTTACATGTAGCTGAGCAACCACAAGCCCTAGGTCACACCATAATGCACATAATTTGCACCTGCAGTTCCAATATGTGAACTGCTACACTCAAGTCTGGCATTCCTGTTGCTTACAGCCCAGTCCAGTTAACGGACCATCCTTCCACAGATATGTAATGTGTTTTTATACTACTACTGAGCCCCAGCAAAAGGTTTAGGCATGCCTCGAGTATCTTAAAATCAGTCAGTAAAAGAATGCCTGTAACATGCAGTTGCAAAGCTGGCAGGGAAGATTGCTTGGCTGCCATCATCTGCACCACAAAATAAAGGTTCAAATGTGTGCTCTGCCATGTTCACAGCAAGTCTCCTGTAACAGATATCAATCTAAGTGTTTCATTGTCCTCAACGGAAAGATAGCAAGGAATAGATACGGCTCTATGATATGGCTGAGGGCTCTTGGGAGTGACTACATCTATCAGTGCAAACAGGTCTGAAGAAGGACAAAAGCTGCTAAATTGTACATTAGCATTCTTTCCTATTTTACTGGATTAGGAAATAAATCAAGCCATACTTTCTTATCTCTCTGTTTCATCTTCGAGGTTTTTTGCTCCAGTGAATAACCCAGTTCTTTTGCTGCTTTGGTTAGTTTTTCATCTAAATCTTTCAAAATGCCACTTTTCTTTTTATCAGTCAGTTCTTTAAGCTTTCTGGATAAAAATAATCTGAAAAAAGAAAACCCATTACACTACAATTCATCTTTAGGATTATGAAAGCATAGAAAGTTTTTCTTAGTCTTGAAAGGAACTGGAGTGCATTAGGAAGCCAAGAGACACTGCTAAACTTTAACTCTGCCTTTTAACTAACTTCAAACAGATAATCCAAAGGTCTACTTCTAAGCCATGCTGTGTGCTCAAGGATAAACTTTTGGTCTTGGGTGCCACCATTAGGAAAGAATTGTTTGAGACTGTAACATTTCCCAAAGAGGTCTATGAAATATGTTTATGAAACAAACAACTGTATTCATAGGTAACTAGTCAGCACAACAGGGTTTCTTATGGAAAAGTTCACACAATCACATAATATATCAGTGAACACATTATTATGCCAGATCAGTTCCATAAGCAAGACTTTCCATTAAGATATTCCCAAATTAGAGTGATTCAAGAGATATTGGGTGCTGATCTACTATCTGTAATGTAATACAAGGAATGCCTCGACAAAGTTTTTTCAAGTCAAAAAACAATTAGGTAAAACAAGAATATTGATTTCAGTATTTCTTTTAAACAACAGTTATTGTTTTGGTTTGGGGACATGAACAATTCACATTACATTATACAGCAACAATATATATGTTTTCAGTGGAGCTACTGGACTTCATGGCAAAAGGTTTCCTGGGCTAACAATTGGAAAATACTTATGGCATCCATTTTCCTTCAAGTTCATAAAGAATAACTACTGAAAAATGAAAAATAACAAGCAGTCTCAAACTTTGCATGAAAGTAAAACCTGACATGTTTCTTAAAATATTAGAAAACTTCGTCCCACAGTTCAGCATAAATCTAGATTGCTAAACATAAGAGCGTATAATTCATATAAGGAAAGTATTAATCAAAGAACAAAGATTGAGCCACTTGAAGTTTTTAGCAAATTTCATTACCTTACAGAAACTAAACAACCCAGTATGATCAAACAATAATACTCAAAAAACTGAAAAGGGGAAACATAGCTGTAAAAGAACAAGAGGAAAATAGCTAAATAATATTTCTCAAATATTTAGAGGAGAAATCTGGGGAACCACATTAGGTAAGCTGCACGAGCAGTCTGCTGCCACTGAAAAACAACCCCTTCAGGCAGCTACAACTCTTACTGAAACATGGACAGAGGAGCAGGTAGCTATCCTGAAAGGTATTACATAGCAGCAGCAAGGGCATACTGCAGTGCATTCCTGCATGCTGTTGCAAATACAGAAGTATTCTTTTGTCAGTGCCTTGTTTGTGATAATCTCTCTAGTCTTAAGAAGAGGATGCTCATCTAATAGAATTCAGGACAGCAGGAAGGGGATGACAGCTAATCAAACCACCCCACCGCTAAGCTGCTTTCCCTGACCATGAGAGAAAATACACACAGTTCATGTAACTTCCTGTTCTAAGCTATTGCTCTCCCTTCTTCTCCACTTTGTCCCAGATTAATTTTTTAGTCCAGGATGAAAATGTTAAACCTTACTTTACAGCAGCAAAAATATTGTCACCAACTTGAGAAATTATGCAGCCTTTCTTGGCTTCATTTTCACCAATCCACACTGGTAGTTCATCTGGCGTATCCCTGCCCATGAAAAAGTTCCAAAATGATTATTGTTTGGAGAAATTACATTATAATCTCTGAAGGTATTGCTGAGAAAATGCAAACATACAATATTTTTTTCTAGGCAATATACTGAATTCATGTTTTTGAGGATTATACAGCAGCTTCTCAAATTCTATTTTTATATATCAAAATCTTATCTTCTACTAAAGAACCGAATTTATAAGGTTAACCACATTTTTAAAAACCTGTACAATTCTAATTTCTGACAATACATAAAAATCCATTTTGAATCCATTCCTATGCATGTTTTCAACAGTTCTTACTAGAAGTGTGTTTAGTACTGCACTGAATTTGTATATAAAATATATCCTATTTAAAATTGGGTATGTGCAGTCCTACTGCCCCTGCCCTAGATGCATGCAAGCCTCCGAACTTGGGTGGCTGACATGGATCCAAGAGCTGAAACACAGCACAACAGTGATCTCTGCTGCCACTGTGTCTTGCCCCATCCATTTTATCTAGATGACTGTTTCCAGCCACCTAGGTAAAGTGCTGGGAAGGGAAGAAGGCAGGCGTGCTAGCAGGAATCAGCTCAGGTAGATGGCCCCAGCCTCTGCCTCTCCCCAGCATGCCCCCGTTCTCCTCTGAGGTGCAGTTTTCCTCTTGAGGAAGCAGCCAGTGCCGTTCTCTCCATGCCACCTGCGTATGTGCGCACGGAGGTGGGGGGTGGTGGTCAGCTGTCAGAGTCCAAGCAAAGAATCCCATGGCCCCAGACAAAGTTGCAAGACCATAGGATGCGAGTTAAAACTTTCTCTTTAAAAGTTAACTTATTGCATAAACGTACCACCCCCTCCCCACTCGATGAGTTCAGTGAGATTTTCCAAAAAGTTTTCTTCTGAATTAATTGGCTGCCAGATGTATTGCATGGTGTCAGCTGCTGGACAGGATTAGGATTAGGATTTATTGCCTTCTAAACATGATACTTTAGGGGAATATGTTTCAAAGAAATTTCATATAAACAAGTATCAGCTGATTTATTTTCTTCTTGTAGGTTGTGCCTAGCCAAGATGATCACAAAAATATGTCTTTTTAAACATGAAACAGACAAATTTTGTGGATAAACTTTCCAGACTCAATTGATTTTACTGGATTATGTAAAGCACATTCCGATGTCATTCTTTCACCTTTACACATATACTTTAAAACATAACTGACAAATGAGTGGAAATTGGTCCTCAGCCTTGCATCCTGCTCTAGAAAGAAATTCCTGGCACATAGTAGCACTTGGTGCATGCCTGAAAGCAGAGGTGGTTGGAAAGCACTTGCAGCTCCCCCAATCCCTCAGCACTGGCTATACTGGCTCGGACTGAAGGAAACTGCAGGGTAACATTTGGAGGTCAGCACATTCCCCATCCACTGCTGTGAGGCAATCCCTGTAGTAGAAAGGCTACATAACACAGGGGGCAATCATCCAACACAGGTGGATTTCTCACCTGAAATATCCCATATGATATTGCATTTTGGAGTCTCCAGTAATGATCGTCTGGAATTCAGGAGGATCAAAAAAAAACCTCCAGTGAAGATTGAAGTTCACACCTTCAGAACTCTTCGTTTTCGTGTGTTTTCCAGCAAGAATGTCATATGGTCCAACTAGCTGAAGCCCAATACTTGATTTAAGTGCATCTGAAACACATTAAATACATGTTTCACACTTATACAGAAAGATGTGACACCCCGAATTCTCAATTTTTTTAAATTACATTTTAAATTAAATTTTTAAAGTTTAAGTCATTTTCTTAAAAGGTCTTCCTATCCCAGCCTGCTTTTGCATTACTAAAATGTACTACTAAGGTAAAGAGCTGCTGCTCCATCTGCCCACAGAAGAAATACATGCAAGATACTTTTTGAATTCCACCCTCCATCATGAACTTCTCCAAATAAATTACTTTTATAAAGGGGAAAGTTATTCTTAATGTTGCTTAATTCAGATATAAGGCCGAGACAGAAGCTTGTAAGTTTGACCTGTGTTTCTCAGAAGGCTCAGCTGTTGATTATGATTCTAAATTCAATTTGGATGCCAAGAAGTACTTCCTGACAGTTAGGACCCCTACAGTATGGAATGGGTTTCCACAGGGGGTAGTTGAATCCCCATCAGTGAGGATGTTCGAGGATAGGCTATACATGCACATGGTCAGCATGTCATGAGCGGAGCCGGGGGTCAGACTAGATGGCCCAGGAGACCCCTTCTGACTTGCTCAGTTTCTATTAAACCCAAAACAAAAGTATGCACCACAAAGATGAATAACTGTTACTCCCATATTATACTAAGGATACTAATGTAACTATCAGATTTTCTGTATTTCAAAAATTCAGGGTTGAAAAACAGATCCATCCATGTTAAAAAAGGGGAGGTATCAACAGTTTTGGGGAAACTTCCAAGTTTATAGAATACACACACACAAACACACAATACACACACACACACACACAAATCTATATATTTAAGCAGCTCAATGAAAACCGAGCATGCTAGCAAACAAAGAATATGCAGCCATGTTGGGGGTTGTTGAGAGAGGAATAAAATGTCTTCTAGATGAGGACATGGCTAGCTGAAATAGTGCAAATGACAAAGTCCTAAGTGAGTAATAAAACAATACACAGAGCCTGCAATAAATAAACCATTTACTGAGGAACACTTGTCCCATATTTTGGTTTTAATTTCAAAAAAACAACAAGTCAGAACTTTTGTTGCTGCAGTGTTGTAATTAAAAATCTTTTTAATCCTGGTGCAATGAAAGAATGAAAAAATCTGTTTTTTGGGACCTACCACATGGTGCATCAGAATTCAGTTTTTCACAAAACTTCCAGAAGTGATAGAAGTCTTCAGGCATCTTGAGTCGATAGCAACTTTCCACTTCTTGGCAGACATGATCAGGGACATCTGCTTCATTGGACCGTTTCTTCTTTACTTCTCTAAGTTTTTCACACTACCAGTGAAAAGAAGATCAATTTTAATTCCACACCTGGGAAGAGGCAAATTCATATGCATTAAGATAGGAATGGCTAACATGAAATCCATCTGTGGCTCCTACTGTGGCAGAAAATGGTCTATTAACTACAACAGAGCAGTAAATGGGTCTTAAATAGCTTGTTCTCAAATCACATCTGAACTACAGAACTCTCTGTAGCGGTTTGCCACCAAATTTCTTTGCATGATGGGAGAAACAGCTCCTGAACCCTTGAAAATGACCATCCCTTAAGATAAGATTGCGCTTCCACAGAGAGGAGAAAGCCTTTGTGTGCCTTCTTGTTTCTATCTTTTTTTCAGCATGTCTTTTCCTTCTTTCTGCATGGTTTCTTTCCCTCTACATACTTTTCTGCCTGTTTACCTCTGTTCTCCTCCTGTATGTTTTTCTTTTGTGTTCTTCCCATTCTGCCTCCCCTTTCCTTCTCCCTGCTCTCACTATCTATTCCGCTTGTGTTTGGTATGCCTTTTTGCTCCCTTTTTCTTCATCATCTTGTGCTAGGAGTTCCTCACAATAAGTAGATATAACCAGCTTACAGCAGCTGAAAGACTCACTCAGCTTCTAGAATCCACACTCAACAAGCTGCTCTCCTCACTAGCCCATCCCAGGGAGTGGCATGCTCTGCTTGTGGTGGGGCTGATCATTACAATTTCTGGCTTGGCCAGCAGGGCTGGCCCAAATTTGTGGACCCCGTTCCCTACCACTGCATTTAGGACTTTTTGAATTATCAGAATGGGTTGGGAATGGAAAAGGACAAGGAAAGAATTTTACGTACTAAACATATCACAAAATGTAAGTCCGTTCTTTGAAGAGAGAAAGGTCTATTCTGAGAGACTCTTCTGCTAAAATTAGGTGAAATACCAAATCCCAGGCCAAGCCGATAGAACTCCAAAGGGTAGAATGAGGCATGCATGAAAGTAAATTACATATTCCATTCCTTAACCTAAGAAACTCTTGATTCTGGATCCCAAGTTTTGAAAGCAAGGCTCTCTGCCTGTGCTCTTTATTTATTAGGTTCCCTGCTGGTAAGCCTGGAATATGATTATCTGGACTCTTGTAGCAGTAGTAGGGGACACAAAGGGGCCTGGATGAAGTTTCCCCTTTCCCAAGGGGTCTTGGGTAGATGGATAGAAATGGTTGAAGTACCTGATCCTGCACTGCTAGCCGGTGTCTCTGTTTCCAGCCTCCAGACATTTTGTTCCCTGGCGTCACCACTGCAACATCCTGCCTTTTACGGCCACAAGGATTTCCCAGGCCTCGTTCTCGTGATGTCATTGTACAAAGGTGTCTAGGTCAATAAAAACAGAGTTAGGTACAAAGAAACTAAGGCACTGCTGTCTGGGTGACTAGAAGCTGTATAAAGATAAGCCAAGGTAGTAAACAGGAAAATACTGCAGCACTACTCAAACTGATGGGTACAGGAATGAAATGCGAACAATCCTCAATTACTTGCAATTAAGCATCACTGAACTCTGAGACTTAACTGAGAAATAGTTAAAATCGGGCTGATGCCTTAAATAGAACTGTCAGGGAATAAACCCAACTCCCCAGCATAGAATAACACTGTTAATAATGCAAAGAATCAAGAGTGGCATCAATATTTGCATCTGGTGTGCAAGTCTGTAGTAAGGCCATACTATTGGCTTGTATTATCACTCTCAAAAGAGCATTTACAATTTAGGTAGGGAAAAAACTGTTAACCATACTCAGAAACAACATTAATGAAAGCAATTACATTTACCTTTGTAAACCATTATGAATTCAGGTTGCAATCTTATATACTGGCCTAAGTTCAAATGAACTAAACGACACTTAATTATAATATGGCATTAGGGTGTTTAAAAAAAAGAGCAGGAACCTATTCTCTGTAAGTGCCAGTAACCATTCTGGGAAGTAGGAGAAAGGGGAGCCATCAAAATTTACTGCTGCCTATTGGTGATGGGCATCCTGATTACATTAATATTTACACATTGTCATACTGAATGTATTCATATTCTGCTCCTACAACAGAAGCTTAGGGAGAGGCATGCAAAAGGAAGAGTGGTGAAAGGATGCAACTGAGAGACTTGACTGAAGGGGAATCGCCCAAGACATTTATCGTTGATGCAGAATCAACAGTAGCCCACTCGAAAAAATAAAGGCACAAAAAATGCAACTCCTCCATTTTTTTCCTGAATGTTAACCCCCACCCCCCTTCACATCTCCCTCTCTTTCCGGGCCTTCAAGTCTCTATATCACATCCAGGACCAAGGGCTTTTAAAAACGGCTACTCTAATTTCAACCTTCATCTTTCCTTTTGTTACAATCATATATAAAGAAGGTACTCTGCATGAAAATTTACTCCCTGGCATCTCCAGGTAAGGCTGAAAAGTTTTCTGCCAGAAACTCTGGGATGTCAGAATGACTAGGCTAGCTGGACTAAGCATCTGATGGGTTCAGTCTGATTGGGTTCAGTCAGCAGAACAACCCCTGCTCTAGGGTTAAGTATAGATTATTGTTGTATTATGGTTATACTCTCACAACCCTGCTGAAATAATATGTCATGGCTTGCCAAGCATGAACAACCGATGAAGAGAACCCATAGTTCGCTGTTGGGTTGTGAACTGTGTGTGGTTCACTGCAGTTTGTTATTTAAATTAGGTTCAGACAACTCAGTTCAACCACAACCCAGTTCAATCCATTCTCAAACCACGAGGTTGGATTATCCTGTTGTCTTACCCCAATCAGTACAGAGCAGCCGCCTATATTACTATACTATGCACACTTACATGGGAGTAAGCCCCATTGAACTCACCGGCATTTACTTTTGAGTAGGTCTGCTCGACATATCCTTCCCACCCAGTCATTCACCCCCCCTCACCCACACCCACCCCTTTGAGCAGGAAAGCACCCCTGGAGTTGGGGCTATGGGGCCCAGAAAAGCAAGAGGGGAAAGGGAGATGAAAAGCAGAAGCCGAAAGGACGGAAAAACGGAGGAGAGAAAGAACAGAATAGATACATAGGCACGGGAACAGCCGAAGAAAAGCTCCTACTGCAAAAACCGGACAAGACGGAGAAACACAACCAGAAAAGGAAGGCAACACGAAACAAAGGCTTTCTACTGCACCAACATGTAGGAACCGCGTCGCCTCCTCCACCAACCCTCTCTCCCCGTGCACGGGCGAGCGGAAACGGAAGCGCCGCCACCGCCTCTTTTGCAGGCAGTGCGCGCTCTTTTCCTTCTTTTCCTCCCGTTCATGCACAAGCTCACTTTCTTTCTCTCTCTCACACACACACCCACACACCCGAATATGCTCACGGAGGAATTGAATTACCATGTATACTCCGAAGCAACTCCCACTGAGTTCAGTGCAGTTTTCTTCCCTAGTAAGTGGATTCAGGGATGCAACCACGGGGAGTAATATTAACTTTACTTCCCAAAATTTTGGAGCGGGTGACGTTTACTAGACGCATGCCATTGTCCACATTCGTTCCCTTAAGGTCATGTACAATTGTATTTAGGCGTCCTGGGCCCTTAGATAGCTAAGCTGCAAATAATCTGACAGCAATGCAACGTGATACAAAATACATGCCTAAACGATTGCTAGTATTTTATTGTGCCACAAGAGGGAGCCGTTGTTGTTTCTGTGGAAGAACTACCGAATTTAGACAAGCGGGTGTTGGTTTGAGAATCTCTTCCAGTCGGTAATTAGTAAGTAATCTTCGAAGCTTAACTGGCTTCATGTCTACTGTAAAGCAAGTCCCACTGAGTTCAATGGTGCTTACTCCCAAATGAGTGAGTATAGTATTATAGTCCAAATTACTGAAAATGGGATTTGTAGGGAGGAGTGCATACACCTGTATAGTCATTTTCTGATTATAGAAGAATTTTTAAAGAACACTACTACTGTAACTCCTACAGTTTTGTTTTTAATAAAGTGCTGCCTTGTCAGGCATCTATAAAATACATGTATTATTTACATCTTAAAAACAGGACATTTAAGAGCCATGATGTGGAATTATTACATAATTATTCTTAAATGGTCCAGTAGAATTACCCCACATTCAATTTTTATCCATGTTTCCTCTGCATTGTTTGTGCTTTTGTCCCAACAAAATGGAATGAAGTTATTAAAGATGTCTGTTATAACAGAAAGGAGCTATCTTCAGGAAGGCTGTAAATGAACTTGGTACTGCAGTGTACTGCAAAGACACATCATATATCTGCTGAGTCACCACATCACTGCTGACAGGTCATTGTGCAATTTTGCCTAATACTTTCTCTGCAGTTCTGTAAGGTAATTGGTGCAAAATAGTTCAATCATGGTGGCATGAGGAAGCTGCATTCTTGTACTGTCTTGAGAAAAAAACTGATTGATCATACTTTCTTCCTGCAAAGCTGATAAAACACCACAGTTTTATTTACTGTGAATGGTAAGATGGATAATAAACCTTTAAAGGTGCTGTAGGGCTTGCATTTTCAACTGCCCCCCCCCATGCCTGGAGGGCACAATCCAATGGTCCCTTTCCTTAATGCCCTTAAGTGCAATGCAGCAGTGAGATCATGCCATGTATTTGATCTGGATGGCTGTTTTCAGCAGCTCAAGAGGGAAAGAGGCTGGCATAAGGTGTCAGCCCCAGTTTCCCCTATTCTCTTCAGGAAGGTAGTTGCTGTGATGGTGTGATTCTCTCCAGCTGCAAGGGGGCAGGGCCTGGACTCAGCTTTTGAAATAATCTGAATAATCCTATGGTCCTGACAGACATCAGGAAGCCAAAGGATTTATTATTATTATTTTTTATTTTTCGATTTATATCCTGCCTTTTTCCTACAAAGGGCTCAAGGCAGCTTACACCTCCTCCTCCATCTTATCCCCACAACAACAACCCTGTGAGGTAGGTTGGGCTGAGAATCTGTGACTGGCCCAAAGTCACTCAGTTGGCTCCATGGCTGAGCGGGGACTAGAACCCAGATCATCTGAGTCCCAGTCCCATGCTCTTAGCCACTACACCACACTAGCTATCTTAAGATTGCACCCTTAATTGCTACCTTGTTATTATTTCATTTCAGCTGAAGCTCTGGTATCTACTGTGATATCAATTCATTCTTATTCTGCTCACTAGAAGTCAACAAGGACTTGCTTTGTTGCACAAGTAAGCCTTAGAAGAGCGATTTTAGCAAACCACCAAATTATGGTGGCTGGGGAGAGGAGGAGAAGTGGGGTTCAACAGTCCTGCTGTACACTGGCATCATTCCAGTGGTGACCAAGCTTTGCAAAGTAATTCCACATTACCAGTAATTTGGTGCTTAGGAGAAACATAGCTGCTACCATTGCATTGAATTAGAACAATTAATGGTGAATGTTGAGGCATGCAAGGATAAAGGGATCTGTCTGCATAATGCAGAGGTGGACCACTCATGGGCTTCAGGACACAGCAAACCACCAAGATAGCCTCTGTCATGGCTATTTTATTTTTACATTTGAAGGCTAACAGGTTGGAGAAGGAGGGCCTGAAGGAAAGATTAAAATATTTAAATAAAATAATATTTTGAAATAAAGGCTCAATGTTCTATTTTTTTTAAAGCTAAGGCCTCAAAACATTGTCTTCTTAAAAACACTTAGCTACACTTTGCTGTCTGGATCCCAGCAGAAAATATACATGTTTAGCAAGTGAAAGAAAATAAACAATACATTTTTGGAAATGGATCCAAACAAACTAGTTTCAAATGTTAATCTAAATAGCATTCATACCCTTTCGCATCCTGTTGCCTTCCCAATGTTTTGAACTACAACTCCCATCATTCTAGCTGGGGATATCCCAACACATCTGAAGAACACCAGATTGGGAAAGCCATGGCGTATTTACTTCTCAGATGGTTACTTAAGCAAAGCTGAGAATGACATCAGGAGTCTAGGACTATTCTCTAAGGAGTGGGAGATATTTGCTCATTTCTTTTAATTTTCTCCCAGTCAGGAAGGAGATCAGATTTAGGCTGGAAGCGGGCAACACATTTTAAGAGGACTGAAAGTGATTTCGGAGGCATTGCTTGTCACCTTTGGTCAAATAGCCTTTATGAGTTGCATTGCAAAATTGTAAACCTGGTTATTCTTTCATCCTATAAAGCTGGTAAACAGGAGATGAAGAATACTTGGCTATAGCTGCTGGTGAGAGATGTTCAAGGGGTAGGGGTTCAAGTGTTCACTGAAGGTAGAGACTTGAGGCAGGGTAGCAGCTCTGCTAGTGCAAGCCCATACAGTCCACAGTAGTATTAACCACAGAAAAGTGCATGGCACACTAAGCTAAAAGTCAGTGATATGCTTCAGGCCATCCAGTTCATGTTTAAACCGTTTTCATGTACAACACTCTTTGACACTGTGACTTACCTTAATAGTAAATAATTAAAAGAGGTAAAATCACTGTAATTGGTTGTTTCAGCGAATATTACTAGATTTTCTATCTTTCATTTAACTAGCTAGGCACATTTCCTTGTTTTTGTATGCACAAAGTAAGCACACACATCAGCATAACCAAACTGGATTTTCAAGGCAGTTTTGGAGGGAATTTTCTAAATTCCTTTGCCTACAGGTCAAAGGAGACAATTTAAAGTTTAGGGCAAGTTTAGGCATTGCAGTAACTAAAATACTTAGAGGGACATTAAAGGGTATCCCAGTCTTCCCACCACACATTTGAGGCTACAACATAATCTCTCCTTGCACAGTGCCTTTGGACTGGTTGCTGGTTTCCACAAGAGTAGAAATCTCTCTTTACGGTTTTAACCCAAATGCTTTTTACCCTCTCCTTTTTGTAGTTTCAGTGTTCCAAACCAACTGTCTGATCCTCAGAAAAAGTGGACCATCCTATTTCTTCTGCAGTCATAAAATAGAACCAGTAGTCTTCAACTGCTTTGGTATTGCCAAATCTAAAAAATCCTGTTTTCAATTCCTGCTTACCTTGTTTCAGTGCCCCACCCCCTCCTATGCCTTATCCACTTATTATACCCCAATGGCCCATTGTCTAGGTCACTGTACTTGATGGCGGATTGCACCTGACTTCAGGTGGGTCATGCTGGCAAGTGTTAGGTAATTTCTACAGTATCTCTCTTGTTCTGGCCCTGCTGCTATGCAGCACTGTGAAGCAGCCTCCTTTGGGCAGCACCAGGCCAGAGGAATAAATGAAGGCAGCTGTTTGCGACTGTTGGCCAGGAGGGGAGTATTTTGAGTTCCCTTTCAGGCAGCAGAACATCTTGGGCCCCCACCATATCTTGGCACTGAGGATTTTCATATTACATTATGAAGTACACCATGGAGCTTCATAAATGCAGAAAGTAAAGAAATTAGACATCTGTTTGAAATTAGAGGGCTATTTGGAATAAAGTAAGAGTGTTTGTTACCACTTAATAATGTGCATTGTATGTGATACCTATTGAACTATTTGGGTTCCATTCAAAGGACATTGATATATTTAGGTTGTTTATTATTAATACCTATTATCTTCTTACATTAGCAGCAGCCTTTGTTCACAAGGGAGCAGTAAGTTTTGAAGCAATGCATTTTGTGTTCTGGGTACTTGTTTTCTGTCTAAAACAAAGCCCCTACATTGAGGCAGGAAAGTATTAAAAAAAGAGTGGAATATAACCATGCATATGAGCAAAGACTTCAGGCAACCTTTTAAAAAACAAGCACATGATCTGTAGTAGATCTGAGAAGCTGCCAGTTTTGAAAGTGAAGAAATATAGCAATCAAAAAAGGAATAAATTAAGGAAAGAAAACTCTGAAAGGGGTTCCCTTGAATTTGCTTCAGCACTGCTATAAGAAACCTAGATTGCAAAGCTACTTGC